GTTGTTTTAACTTGCATTTCTCAAATGATCCATAATGTTGAACATTTCTCCAGACATTTGCCATTTCTACTTCTTCACCTGGGAAGTGTCTATTCATTTCAGATGCCCATTTTTGGGCTGGGTCTTTAAATTTGGGGGGTCTTGGGTTTTTTGTTGTTCTTTTCTTTAGTTTTTTATGTATTCTATTTTTTTAAATGTATTCTAGATATTAGTTCTTTGAGGAACAGCTGGCAAAAAGTGTTTCCCACTCTGTGGGTTGCCTCTTCACTCTGTTGGTGATTTCTTTTGCTGTGTAAAAGCTTTGTACGATGAGATCTCAGTTGTTAGTTCTTTGTAATAGTACCTACGTAAATAGGAATTTGTTCATAAAATCTTTGCCTACACCAATGTCTTCAAGAGTTCTACCTGTTCTATATTCCAGAAGATTTAGTGTTTTTGTATTGATACCTACATCTTTGATCCATTTAGACTTTAGTTTATTGTGAACTAAATTTTAGGAAAGATATAGGTTTAGCTTTAATCTTTAGCCTGTGGAAACCCAGTTTTTCCAGCACCATTTATTCCTGTTGTTGTTATTCTCGGATACCATTTATTTAAAAGGCTACCTTTCTTTCAGTGAAGGTGTTTGGCTCCTTTGTCAAAGATGAGGTAACTGAGTGTGCTTGGAGCTGTTTCTGCATCTTCCAATCTGTTCCGTGGATTCCCAGGTCTGGTATTGGTTTTGTTTTTGTTTTTGCCAATACCATGCTGTCTTTATCACAGTAGCTTTTTTTGTTAGTATATTTTAGACACATATGGTGATAGCATCCATCACAGGGAGTCTGTACCTGTACATGGTAATCACAGTAGCTTGTATAATTTCAAGTCAGGGATTGTGATGTCCCCTGCCTTGCCAAGAATTGCTTTTGCTATTCTAGGGCTCTTCTGACTCCAAATGAATTTTAGGATTGTTTTCTTTAATTCTAGGAGATATGCTATTGACATTTTGAACAGGATTGCATTAAGTCTGTAAAGCAGTTGTGGTGGAAGTATGGCCATTTTCATTGTATTGGTTCTTCCTACCCAAGAATATCTTTTTTTTTTTCTTTGGTTTTTTTTTTGGCGGAACTGGGGATTGAACTCAAGCCCTTGTGCTTGCCAGGCAAGCACTTATTCTACTGAGCCATCTCCCCGGCCCCCAAGAATATCTTTTTGATATCCTCTTTGACCTCCTTTTTCAGAGTACTGTAGTTTTCAACATAAAGGTCTTTTTCTTCCTCTGTTAGATAGATTCCTAGTTATTTCATTTTTGTGGATGCTATAGTGAAAAGTGTTTCGCTAATTTCTCTCTCAGTGAGTTTGTTCTCCATGTACACAAATGTTATATTTTTTAGTGCTCACTTTGTAACCAGCTATGCTAATGAATTTGGCTGTTAAATTTAAAAGCCCTTTTGAGGAGTTTTTGGAGTCTTCCATCTAGAGTCTCATGTTATTCACAAACAATGATAATTTATTTTCTTCCTTTCCTATCATTATTCCTTTTATTTCTTTTTCTTGTCTACTTTCTCTGTCTAATATTTCCAGTATATATTGAGTAACAATGGTAACAGTGGACCATCTTGTCTTCTTCCTGATTTTAGAGTGAAAGCTTTCAGTTTTTGCCCATTTAATATGATATTGGCTGTTAGTTTGTCATAGATAATTTATATCAGTAATTATTTAAAGGTACAACTTTGTGGGGTTTGGTTTGGTTTGGGGGAGGGGTTGAGGTGGGCGTCCTCACCATGTTGCCCAGGCTGGCCTTGAACTCCTGGGTTCAAGCAATCCTCATACCTTGGCTTCTGAGCCAGCTTCAGAGTTTTGCTTTTGTAAGACAATGTTATGGAGATGGATGAGACAATGTTTGCACAGCCTCATGGGTGTATTTAATACTGCTAGAAAGGACAATTCAAAATGGTTTACAATGGTAAGCTTCACTCTGTATGCACTTTATCTTGGTTCTGTTTTGTTTTGAGATAACGCCTCCCTCTATAGCCTAGAGTGGCCTCAAACATGTGATCTTATATTTGTATATTTTATCACAAGTTTTCAAAGTTGAAGCAAAAGGAAAATTCTTCCAGACCTAACAGCACTCTACTCAGCTGGTGTTGGGGAAATTCAAGCAAGTCTTGTGTCCTCACACTTCTGGCTAAAGGAATTGCCAGGAGATGCAGGCATAAACTAGACCTCAGCCAATAGAAGAGTCAGAACTAGAGGTGGACATGAGAACATACAACCCACCGGAAGTTGTCCCTGTAGACAGCCCTGGCTCTTCTCACCCCACCCAGGACTCGTCCTTAATGCAAATCCAGGAGATACCTACTTCTCAGTATTAAGCAGCAGGGCAACCCCAGGCCACATGTAGGCTGTAGTTACTGGTCCACTTTGAGGGTTTGGTCAGGATCTCTCAAAAGTGATGTCGGCCAGAGATGAGCTCAATGGCGCGGTGCCAACCTGGAGAGCTCAAGGTCCTGACTTCCTGGTCCCCACCCCGCCCCCCCAAAACATGTTAATCCTGTAATCCCAGCCTTAAGGGGGCTGAGACAGGGGAATCACTGAGAGTTTGAGACCAACCTGGGCTACAAAGTAAGTTCAAGACCAGACTAAACTATATAATGAAAGCCTATCTCAAAAAAATAAATAAATAAAAAACAAACTGATGAAAGTCCTCAGATGGAAAGGGTTCTTATGGGTATGTCTCTACAGATGCAAGAAAAGTGCACATTTGTGGGAGGAGGCCATAGGCAAGGAGAGGCTGGCCTGTAAGAGATTGAGGGTGAGATGATTCCAAGGAAGATGTCAGAAGACTGCTCTCTTCAGACCTAGGGATGAGAGGGAGGGACCATCCAGAGAGCCCACTTAGGGTGGGACAGGGCTCACTGGAAGGTTGTTCCATTCCCCAGCAAAGAACCTGGTCCAGAAACCCACCTTTCCTCCTCTGACAAGGTTCTCCAGGAGGCCAGCAGCCTGCCAGAGTGATAAGCAGCTGAGGCCTGGGCCTTGGCCCACACCATGGAGGCCTGAGGGGAGCAGCAGTTCAGGTCGGCCTTCAGCACTCTAAGTCCACTCTGTTGAGTTTCTCCTCTGTTCCTGCTCCCATGCAGTGATAGGGTGTGGCTTACTTGTCCTGGCCACTTCATTCAGGGACCTCTTCAAAGGTCCCTTCCTAGTCATTCTTCCCAGGCCTCATCCTTTCCCTCAGAACCTGCCACCATCTGCATCCTTACCTATCTTAGAGGTAAAGACTCACAAAGACGTTTAGGTTGTTGTTGGGTTTCTTGCTTTGTATTGCTTGTTTGCTTTGTAGTATGGGGTTTTTAACCCAGGGCCTCATGCAAGTTAGGCAAGCGCTTACCACTGAGCTACACCCACAACCCTTCTTATTTTTTATTTTTATTTTTTATTTTGAGACCGGGCCCACTAACCTGCCAAGGCTGGCCTTGAATTTATGGTCCTCCTGCCTCAGTTCCCAAGTAGCTGAGATTATACTTGTGTGTCACAAGACCTGGCTAATGGTGGACACATTTACCAGAATACAAGAATGGGCTGGGACTCTTAGCAACAGCAAAGTCCTCACATCCCTAAGTTACTGCTCTTGATGGGTGGAATCTGGCAGAAAGTCCCACCACACCGTGAAAAGGATGGTTTTCCACAGCTGTCCACGTGGCGACCATATGTGGCTTCATGCCTGAGTAGAACCCCCTGAGGAGCTGTAGAGGGGCTTCGAAAGGCGGGGTGGAAAAAATGAAGAGAAAGGAAACTGAAGAGTGAGATAGAGAGAACAGATCTAACAGATCTACCAGGTGCGACCACAGGGCTATGACACTTCATGAGCGGCGCGAAAACAACTGCAAGCCCTGAATGAAAAGTGCCCAGGACAAGCAAGGCACACCGTACCACTGCACGGGAGCAGGAACAGAGAGGGGTGCACTTCACTCTGTAGCTCCCAGAACAAGGGGCCAACGGCCCACGTAAGACTTCCCAGGAGAACCGGGAAACAGGAGATGGGTGACCCACACAGGAACCGCTCAAGTGCCCAAGTCCAGGAAGGGAGACACGCGACTGCTCCCCGACACAGTGCCCACCCAGCCAGAACGGGGGGACGGGACAAAAGCAGTGCCTGTGTCACAGACTGGCACGAGACCAGAGGTCATACATGATCTCGTAGCCCACAGGGGGACCAGAAGAGACACAGGGCCAAGGCCCTTGTTTTTGCTTCTGAACAATGTTGCAGCACGCTCTCTTGGCCGTAAGAGCAGACCTTGATCCATGCAAGGCCAGTTGTGCCATGATTTGTCACACTCAGCATAGCTAAAAGCTGTGTCGTGGCAGTGCCGTTTGCCCATGAGTGCATCCAGCTCCAGCACAATTCTGTCTTCCAAAATTCATCCAGCTCCTAGCCTCTCAGCATAAAGGCTATGGATCTCAAGGCCAATACCACTTCCTTTTTTAAACTGCTCACCTCTGAAAGAAGGGCTGGAGGTAGGGGAGAGAAGACATAAGATTAACTGTAGTAACCTGGACAGGGGGCCGTGTGGGCACCTGGATGTCCAAGTCTGTAAATAAGAGATGTGAGCGGCTATGTTTGACCACACTTTTTGTAAAAAAATCCTCAAGGGAGAGAGAGACAGTAACAGAGACAGAGACAGAGACAGACAGAGAGACAGAGATAGACAGACAAAGAGACAGAGAGACAGTAACAGACAGATATAGAGACAGACAGAGATAGTAACAGAAACAGAGACAGACAGAGAGACAGAGAAACAGAGAGACAGACAAATAAACAGAGAAGCAGAGAGAAAGAGACAGAGAAACAGAGACAGAGAGACAGAGACAGAGACAGAGACAGAGAGAGAGGAAATATCTTTGAAGAACAGGCTGTGTCAGTTTGCCCTTTAACGCCCTCCTCCCTGCTACTCAGAAAAGGGGAAGGAGGTGGAGGATGCTGCTGTGAGAAAAAAAAAAAGACCTAGCCACTACAGAGCTTTGACTGCCACCTGAGCACAGCTTGCCACTGAAGCAGGGCAGCTCTCACACTGTGGCTGCTGCCCAGGAAGGACAACGAGGCACCAGTGCCCAGCACTCAGCTACTGGCAGGCAGACGCAGCTCCCTGGGTGGCAGCGATGCCCTGGCCCCCTCCTGGATGGCTCTGTATGCTGGGGACCTTGCTGGAGCTCTCAACTGCCCTGGCCCCTGAGAGCTGCCCCGAGAGGCACTACCGCTCCCCAGAGAGGCTGTGCTGTCAGATGTGCAGTCCAGGTAAGGCAGGCCGCGTGTGCCAGGTACGTGGGGACAGGACCTGCAAATGGGGGAGAAGTGGCTCATGGCAGCCCCACCGCCCTGAGAAGAAGACCAGCAGCTTCTCTCAAGCTGACCTAAGGGCCTCTGCTCACAGGGACATTCCTGGTGAAGGACTGCAACCGGCACTCAACAGCTACTCAGTGTGACCCGTGTAAACCAGGTGCTTCCTTCACTCCAGACTACCACAGTCGGCGCCACTGCGAGAGCTGTCGCCACTGCCACTGGGGTGAGACAGGCAAGGGTGTGGGGGTGACCCTGGAAAATAGCACTGAGGAGAAGCAGGGTGGGAGGCCAACACAGGGAAGGCGGTGGGCACTGGATACCCTGGGTAAGGCAGGTATCAGTGCGGGGCTACCTATGACTAGGGGAGGGGGAGCAAAGCTTGGGGAGCTGGTAAGAAGGGGCCTAGGGATAAGAGCTAGTGGCCCCCACTCTGATCCCAGACCCCCCAGTGCACGCACAGGTCTCCTCTGAGAGACAGCCTCCGGATCTCAAAGTATCCAGATAGCACCTGGCTACAGGAGGCTCCTGGAGACCCCAGCACAGCGCACTTAGCTCTGTGTCAGTGTTCACATCTTTAAGAGGAGGAAGTGCCTGAAATTAGCTGGCTTTTGTGCACGGGTTAAACAAGTAAATGGATTCTCAGTCCTGCAGCCAAGGGCACTTCATCCACAGTGAGGAGCCTGACACCTTCCTCAGCCCTATCCTTTCCCTTTCAGCAGATGCCCTAACAAGCCCCCTACACTGCCACGCTTGTCCCCCCCCCCCGCATTGTCCCCAGTGTCTCCCACTCTTCCCTAATGGATCCTTGACCAGGTGGGCTCAGAGTTCCTAGTCAGCCACAAATTCCAGTAGCCGCCCAAAGTCAGAATTCATAAGAGGCCACAGGGCAGCTAGGATGGGAAAGAACCTATCTCTCCTGTGTCTAGATAAAAGGCCTAAGGAAAGGAAGTATTAGGGTTGAGCGTACTCCTGGTGTCCTCCCTTCCTGGGCCTCTCTTCCACCTGTCATGGCTCTCAGGACACCAAGGCTCTAATAACTACACAGCTGTGAGGCCCCTGTTCAAGCCTGTCCCATATCCAAGTGTTGCTGTCCTCTGATACTCCTTCCTCTCAGCCCCAAATACCTGCCAACCCAGCCTTGAAACCCCCCCCCACCAGCATCTGACCCCCACACTGGAGAAAAATTCATATTTTAAAGGTAAAAGAGCCGCGTGTGGTGGTATACGCCTGTAATCCCTGCACTTGGAAGGCTGGCAGGAGGATTGCTGTAAATTCAAGGCCATAAGTGAGTTTAAGCCCAGCCCAAACTATATAGTGAGAACTTGTCTCAAAAAGAAGGCTAATGGCAAAGGATGTCTGTAATCAGTAACTCTCTAGTGAAGTTAAAAACCTATCAGGCCTCACAGCAGCACCATTCCAACTGCTGAAATTGGGAAGCCACACGGCTATCGACGGGTTCCCCCAGCACTCAGAATGAATGCTCTGCAATTTGGATCGGCCCCAGGGATGAACTGCACAAAGGGGCTCAGGAAAAGAAGCCAGACAGAATAAGTCCACACCGCACGATCCCACTTACGGCTTGAATTTAGGATACGTATACTTCTCTGTACGTGTATCGTATTTCAGTAGAAAGTATCCATGAGTAATGAAAGAAAATGATGTAAGTTATTTCTGCTTTGCAATTTCCATTTTTGAGCCTAGGAATGTTCTGAAGTGACCAACTTTCTTCTTTAGTAACAACCAGAATAATAGTGGAGCCCACAGGTGGCCACAAGGGAGGGGTAGGCCCTCTTAGGGGTGGAGTGAGACAGAGGGAATGGAAAGAGGTCGCGTCCCTGGAATGGGCTGGGGACTGAACATGTGGGCCCGTGGGTGGTTGAGGTCTGAGTGTCCTCTGAGCCCGACCTTCTTCCGCCAGGTATCTCCATTCACAGCTGCAACGTCACCACCAACACCCAGTGTGCCTGCCCCCAGGACCGGCAGTGCAGGGACGAGGAGTGCACCGAGTGTGACCCTCTTCCAGGCCTGACCACTCCTCCCCGAGGCCCACACCTTCTACCCAGCCATTCACCTTATGCCAAGAGTAAGTTCCAGCCCCTGCCCCCAGTGTCCAGTCACTTGAGATAAGGGTGACACCTCAGCCAGTGCTCCTCACACTCACCCCAGAGAAGTTCCTGGCCAGCCTGTTCCTGCCTTCCCAGCAGCACTTGGGCCTGTAGCCCAGTGTGCCCTGTAGGGCTCACCCAGGCTGCTTTTCCAGAGGCGCTGCAGGCCAGGACAGTCAGAGTTGTGCAAACTCCAGCTGACATCAGGCAGTTGCCAGTCCCAGCTCTCACCGCCCCCTGGCCATGTGAGTTTTCTCTCTAATCCCCAGTCCCAGAGAGAAAGCACAGAGGCCCAACAGGATATTCCTAAAGGAAGGGTAAGATAGCTCAGTACAATAAGCGCTTGCCTAGCAAATGCAAAGTCCTGAGTTCAATCCCCAGTACTACAAAAAAAAAAAAAGGAGGGGTGAGAAGGGGAGGCAACAGAGTCTACTGAGAGAGACAGGGTAGGGTAGAGTTGGGGGGACAGGAGGGCAGGGCTAGACCCTCCCAAGACCCCTGTGTGCCCTGCTTCTCACAGCCCAGGGGTCCCTGTGCAGCTCAGAATGTATCCGCCTCTTTGTGATCTTCTCTGGAATGCTTTTGGTTTTCACCCTGGCTGGAGCCCTATTCCTCCACCAACAGAGAAAATGCCAATCAAGTAAGAGACAGAACCCAGGCCTTCCATCCCGGCCCTGTGCCATACCTGCCACCACAGCCCTGCTGCCCATACCTGGAACCCCCAAAGCACCTCTGCCCCAGCCTCACCAAGCCCAGTCCCTACGCTTCCATTCCTCATCCTGGTGCCCTCCTGACAGCCCTGAGCTCACCTCCTTAGCTTCTCTCCTCCTGCTTCACTTCCTCTCTCCACTCCCCTCCTCTGTAGACAAAAGAGCAAACCCAGAGGAGACTACAGAGCCCTATCCCTACAGCTGCCCCCGGGAGGAGGAAGGCCACACCATCCCCATCCAGGAAGACCACCGGAAGCCAGAGCTGCCTTCCTACCTCTGAGCAGCTGGGTGGGAGATAAGGTCTCACTGCAACAGGGCTGGCTTCTTCTCTGCCCCACTGGCCATGTAAAGTGAGCTCAGGGTCTATTCCAGTCCATCCTGTCCTTGAGACCCCTTGCTGTATACACATGACAGAGTGCCTGTCCTCCACTGGTGGTGACCAGGGCAAGAGCCCAGCAAGTCTGGTTCCTGCACTGCAGGAGGGCCTGGGCTCTGGCTGTAAAACACTTCTAGCAGTGAAAGCCCCAAGTGCTATATCCTTGTCTCAAAAAACGAGGACAAGGGGGCAAAAGAAAAGTGACAGCACTGTTTCTCTAGTGTGAGAAACTGAAAGTGTAAATAAGGACCAAAATGAATATCAGGTATTGTGAAATAGGAAGAAAATATTTAAATGGGGAGGGAATAAAGAAGGGGGAAAAGTAAAAGTAAAAATAAATAAATAAGTGAGAAAAGGAAGAAAAAATGGAAACAAAGCTTTTGTAAATGCAGAGGAGAGGAGGGGTTGAAGGGAGGGAGGGAAATGGGGGGAGGAATCTAGTTGTATCCTGTACAGGTACAAATTCTCTTCGATGAATGTGATCATTTTGTATATCTAAAATGTACCAATAAAATCTAATTAAAGAAAAAAACTGGTGACAGACTCCCATATCGTAGCTCTCCAGCTTCCTCTCTGCAGCTCCAGTGAGACAGAGCAGAGCAGGTGTGGCTCCAGCAGAAAAGGGGGACAGTGCCCAGGCCCCCAGGAATCCGCTCTGGCTCTGTCGCTGCTGGTCCGTCCCCTCAGTTTACACCCCCACTTCCCTGGGACTCGAGGGAAGCGAATGAGTGCCGTGAAAGCACTTGTAGACTTGGGGTTCAGGGAAAGTGGAAGGACGGGGAGCTGGACCAACACCCCACCTGGCTTTGCCTAGAGGCAAATGCAGCCACAGTGACTAGGAAAGAAAGCGAAAGCGAAAGCGAAGTCCAAAGAGGACCGGCGGGCCAAGCGGGGGCTGCTGCAGAGCTCTCTGCAGGCCCTGTCACCAGCGCCTCGGGCAGCTGCCGGGCAGCTGCCGAGAACAGCAGCCTCATGGGCGCGGAGCGGGGCTGGTGGCTGCTGCTGTACGCGGCTCTGTCTGGAGCGGCGGAAACCGGAACACGTGAGTGGGGGCCCGAGAACTGGCTGGGGAGGCCCCGGCCAGGGGGGCCCAAGTGGTCACCCTCGCCGGGTTCCAGAAGGGTCTGGGGGCCAGGACAGGCTTCTAAGACTCCAGGCCACAGGCTCATGGCCCTCAAGTTAAGGGACCGCAGGTATGGGGAGAGGGGCTGAGGACCCTGCGGGAGAAAGGATGAGGAGGTTTCCTCTCTGGAAGTGGCAGGGAGCCACAGTCCTGCCGAGGGGGAAGGCACTAGCCTGGGAGTGGCTCCCCAGCCTGGGAAACTCTCCAGAAGGGGACGTGATGGGGTCGGGGAGGCCACCGCAGTGGCGGAGAGCAGAACAGACCCCGCCTGCTGGAAACCAGGAAGACGCCTGTCACCCAAGAGCAACAACAGTGGCTGGCTCCTTCCCGCAGCACCGTGTGCTCACTTACTAGTTTTTGCTGATAATCCCTTTAACTGAAAAGGGTCTTTCATTAATAATTGGAAAAGTGTAAAAGTGCAAACTCTTCTAAGGAAGGCGGATCTAAATTTTTTTTTTTTCTTGGTACCAGGGATCAAACTCAGGATCTTGCACTTGCCAGACAGGCACTTATGCCACTGAGCTATATCCTTGGCCCTAGAATTTTAAATAATTCACAGCAGCCGGGCAGAGTGGCACACACCTATAATCTTAGTACTTGGGAGGCTGAGGCAGGAAGATGGCTGTGAGTTTAATCAAGGCCAGCCTGGGCTACTTAGCAAGTTCATGGCCAGCCTGATCTGCATAGCAAGGCTCTGAGAAGAAAGGAAGGAAGG